CAGCACTTTGTAGCGCATCCGGAGACCAATAGGGAGCCAGTGCAGCTCGCGGAGGATAGATGTAACATGGGTGTACCGAGGTAACCCGATATTGCTTGCACGGCTGCATTCTGGACCAACTGTAGTCTCCGAACACTCTTCAAGGGCAGCCCCATGTAGAGTGCGTTGCAGTAATCAAGCCTTGAGGTGATGAGGGCAGTTGCTTTTAGAAGAAAAAAGCATCTTTGAGACACTACGACCTGGATGACTTGAGAATCTCCACAGACATCGTTCCCTAGTTGACTCTTCCTCTCTTTTCTGATCCTTGGGTTGTGAGCCGCCCTGAGTGCCCTTCGGGGAAAAGGGCGGCATAGAAATATAATAAATTCAATTCAATTCAATCCTTTCCTTTCTTTAGTTAAACTCAGGAAATCTCAGATATTGAGATCTCCTAAAAAGAAGTCATATTAGTTCCTTGTTATATAGTTTATATTCAATGATTTGGTGTCAAGTCTTATTGAACCCTGTGCACAATTCAGATACTGTATATAATGACAGAAGAAGAAATTTGCAGCTTAATTTTCACATAAACATTTTAAGATACATTTCATATCGAGCCTTAAAAGATCCCATAGGTACTGAATGCAGAATACCTCTTGAAAGTATATTTAGGATTTGCTGCCTTTGTGAATTCCTTTAGCATATTGAAATTTGAAGGCGACTTGGCCTCATGCAATTAAAAGTTCATTTTAAAGAGTCCGTCATTAGCCCAATGCTTGTTTTAAAAAGCCTTCCGAGGAAATAGCCCCATTATTCTCTCACCAGTAGGTAAAGCAATATAATTAAAATTAAATGTGTGTTTTACAAATCAAGTTCTCTGCTTTCAGTTTGCTCTTTCTCAAATCTCCCCTCATCCCATGGACATGCTGGCATTGCAAAGCCTAATTGTTCAAGGGGTGCGGTGAGACACTGGAAGACGGGATGAAGAGATTAAAAAAGAAAAAGACGGTGAATACATATTTGTGTCACCATGAAGGACCGCAGGAGTCTCTGTATGATGGTCTCTATGAACAAGCCGTCAAAGCAGCCATTGTATCGGTTGAATTAAAAGTATCTCTATAACTGCATTAGAACTGAGAAAAGAAGCTCACCAGAAATTTCTAAATGTGGATTAGGAAACCTCTATCGTTACAGAATTTGATCCAATGAATTATCATTGTTCGTTTTAATGTATTGTTAAAGGGTGTGGAGCTAGTTCACCCTCTGTGGTGCAACTTGGATAAGCGCATAAGAGCAAACTGAACACCGTACACTGAAACATAAATTGATTTACTGACAGCGTAGAGTCCAAGCCATTTCCCCAAAGAGGTGGAGTCATCATCCCTCTTTATAGATGTGTGCTAATTAGCATATGCATCTGTTTGCATATAGCAGCCAGGCAATTCTTTCAATAAAGCATAGGATGTGCCTAGTAAGGCCCACGAAGTGAGTGAGTGAGTGAGTGAGTGAGTGAGTGAGTTAGTTAGTTAGTTAGTTAGTTAGTTAGTTAGTTAGTTAGTTAGTTAGTTAGTTAGTTAGTTTATATGCTGACCATTTCGCCTTCAGACAACTCTGATGTTGAAGACTAATAATCTAAGTGAGTCCAACACCAGCCCCAACATGAATTAGAAAAGTTTGGGCAATCCTCCCCAGAATTCAATCAAGGGAGACTGTTATCTAAAAATGAGGACCTAGATTGTTGGGGGCAATATGCCAACTTCTATAAATCAGGGGTCTCCAACCTTGGCAACTTTAAGACTTGTGGACTTCAACTCCCAGAGTTCCCCAGCCAGCAAATCTGACTCAGCTC